CAAACACACGTGGTTACGTTTAGCCAACAAACATACATGGTCACGTTTAGCCAACAAACATACGTGGTTACATTTAGGCAACAAACATATGTGGTTACGTTTAGCCAACAAACATACGTGGTTACGTTTAGGCAACAAACATACGTGGTCACGTTTAGCCAACAAACATACGTGGTTACATTTAGGCAACAAACATATGTGGTTACGTTTAGCCAACAAACACACGTGGTTACGTTTAGCCAACAAACATACATGGTCACGTTTAGCCAACAAACATACGTGGTTACATTTAGGCAACAAACATATGTGGTTACGTTTAGCCAACAAACATACGTGGTTACGTTTAGGCAACAAACATACGTGGTTACGTTTAGCCAACAAGCGATTACTAAATATATTTATGGATGTATTTGGAGTCATTTGAGCTGGATGCTGGAGTGTCTTTAATAAGATATTCTTATCAAAGTAAATGTAACAATTGATTATAATTTTAGGCACCAAAAACAACAAATGTCCACACCAAAGCAAACGCAGGAAACAGCCACTGAGTTTTGCTGCTGTTGCTAAACGGCATGTCGAACAAAGCAGCTGTCTGATTCCCTAAAGACAAATGTTTACAGGTTATTGTTTCATATTTTACTTCGATAGAGGTGAAAAGACATTTGAGATTATGAATGAAGATGTTCCCTCTGTGCGCTCCTGACTGGAGGTACATGGGTTTGAGCTATGTGAGTAATGAGCGGGGCTTCTGTTTTTTGGGAGAAGGCCGTAAACAGGGTCTGTGATTAACCCCCGGCTGCCCCGCTTGGAGCAGTGACCTTTGCCGGCCGGGATGCCAATCAGCCGGGGCTCCGTGGGCTGTAATTGAGGGAGACAACAGCTGCCTTTTAATAGCACCTTCACCTGTTTTCAGCAGGACGGAGCAGCTCCACCTGAAGCTGAGGAGGGGTTTAAGATGGGGTTAAGAAGGGTTTTCAATTCTAATTTCTCACCACAACGGAGAAATCTTCGAGGCAGTAATGTACAAAAACCTGCAGTTATTCAGACACAAACTGACTTTGACCAAACACCAAACTTCATTCTTCGTTTTACTGTTTAAATAAACTTCTAAAACCTGATATTTATAACTGCAAGTTGTACTAAAACAACTTATCAGTCAACCAGTTGACGGTATTATTTGTCTATCATCTAGAGAAATCCAAAATATCTGTTCACTTTGAAGATTTGCGGCTTTGCTCTTTGTCTTTTCTTTTTGTTTAGTTTAAGTCCACTGGTTGGACAAAACAACACATGTAATGAGGTATCTCTTATTAGTGTCACACATTATATGAAATGACCAACTGATTTTGGCAAAACCATTTAAAGTCTGCCCAATCAGCTGTTAGCAGCTCCTGTTTGCAGTGAATCCATGGACGTACAGACAACTCTCACTGGGTCACTGTGATACTGAAGAAAACTTCAGGTTCTGCAGGGTCAGGGGTCAGGGTTTAGGGTTTGTACGTTTATTCAATACGTAAATGTCAGATGGTTTCACATAATTTAAAGGTCTTGTTTACTTATTTTACTCTCTTATACGTGTAGCTCATTTTGTTCAATGTTGTATAATTTTCATTTTATTTATTTATTTTTTAATCTGTTTGTCTTCTGTCTGTTTTTAAATCATTGTTTATAAATCATTTTTCATTTATTTTTTTAATTTTATTTTTTATTGTCCTGAAAAGCACTTTGTAACTTTTTAAGTGTTTGATGAATAAAGTTTATTATAATTGTTATTATTATTATTTATTATTATTATTATTAAATCTGATCTTTTTATTATTCTTTTTATTACATCTTAAATATTATAGTTTATTATTTTGAGTTGTTTTATTTTTTTATTTTACATAATATTTACTTTCTTATATGTGTAGCTCCTTCCGCACAATTTTGTATGACTTCGAAACTATTTTTAAATTATCATTGTTTGTTCAACCTTTATTTATTTATTTATTTATTTATTTATCATCATTATCATTTTTTTGTCTTTTGTTTTTAAATTATCATTGTTTGTGTATTATTCATTTATTTAAGGGGGTGTGCTTTAAAAGTGCTAGATAAATAAAGTTTATCATTATTACTGTTGTTGTTGCATTATATTTATTATTTGCATTGTTTGCATTGTTTGCATTTTTTTACTCTCCTATGTAGCTCCTTTTGCTGAATTTTATATAACTTTAAAAATTCTTTTTGAATTATCATAGTTGTCTTTTTGATTTTATTTTTAATTTAATTTATTTTACTTTTTAATTTGTATTTATTTTTTTGCCTTTTAAAGCATTTTGTCACTTTGTTTGTAATGTGCTACATAAAGTTTTATTATTATTATTATTATTAGTAGTAGTGGTGGTATTGTCGTTGTTATTTAGTTGTTTATAATCTGCCTGCTCCCACAGGCCCGACGTGTCACTGTCATGCAGCAGGATTTTAATTTGTCCCAAATTAAAAAACAGGAAGTCAGTGGGTGTGGTGTGGTCCAGATGTGGAGCTGCGGAGGAGTTTGTTAAATATCCACATCTGTCCCATTAATCACTCATAATTTGATGACGCTGAAGAGTCGTCAGAGTAATTAGTGAATGATTAGCAAATGATCTGGAATTGCTCAAAAATCTGACTTATTAGCATAACATTAATTGCTTTGTTTCATAAAAGCCAGCTGGCTAATTGTTCTCTGCTCCCCCGAAACACTAATTGATCCAGACTGGAGGTGTGTGTGTGTGTGTGTGTGTGTGTGTGTGTGTGTGTCTCTCTCTGAATACCTGAACCTGCTGTTAAAGGACTCGACTGTAAAACAGAACACAAGCTAGATGAACTAGGAGCCAAACAGGTTCTGAACATTAACCGCTGTAGTGGACACACGTATATCAGAGTCCGTATGAACATTACGGCAGAGCTGGTGATTTGGTGTTATTTGGGTTTTAATGTAACTGCTTCCTGTCCCCATATTTTTGGTATTCTTGAACCTCGGCAAACTGCAGTGAGAAGTAGTGTTTGTGCTAGATTTGAAAAAAATAAATTAAATAAAATCCCCAAAAGGGTTCATGCGACATCGCGTTTCAGAGAAGGACAAAGACAAGGTCTCAGTGACCTTAACCTTTGACCTATGACTACCAAATTCCAATCACTTCCTCCTTGAATCAAAACAGACATTTGTGCCAAAGTTGAAAAATGTCCCTAAGAGTGTGCTTGAGATACTGCAGTCATTAGAATAAGAAAGACAAGGTCAAGGCGACCTTGTCCTTTGATCTATGACCACTAAAATCAAATCAGTTCCTTCTTGACTCAAAGTGGACGTATGTGCTAAATTTGAAAAATATCCCAAAACATCCTTGAGATAAACCTTTTTAAGAGAATGAGACAGACAAGTTCACAGTGACCTTTGACCACCAAAACCTAATCAGAAGGGAATGTTTGTGCCAAATTTGAAAAATCGTGCTTTAGATATCGCAGTTTTGAGAATATGAAAAGATGAGGTTACAGCGATGTTGACCTTTAAACTATGACCACCACATTCCAATAAGTTCCTCCCTGACCGAAAGTGGCTGTTTGTTTGTGCCAAATTTGAAACAAAAAATCCCTAAAAGCAGTATTGAGATATTGCAGTCAAGAGAATGAGAAAGTTGAGGTCACAGCAACCTTTGACCACCAAATTCCAATCAGTTCCTCCTTGAATCAAAACAGATGTTTGTGTCAAGTTTGAAAAATGTCCCAGAGGTGCTCTTGAGATATTCCATTTAAGATAATGAGACAGACGAGGTCACAGTGTCCTTGCCCTTTGACCACTAGAATCCAATTAGTGCATGGTTGAGTCCAAGTGGATGTTTGTGCCAAATTTGAAAATAAATGAATAAAATTCCTCAAAGTGTTCTTAACATATCACCTTCAAGAGAATGAGACAGATGAGGTCACAGTGACCTTTGAACTTTGACCTATGACTACTAAAATCATATCAGTTTGCTGGTAAGCCCAAGTAGACGTTCGGGCCAAATTTGAAGAAATTCTCTCGATGTATTCTTGAAATATCATTTTGAAAAGAATCAGACAGATGAGGTCACAGCGACTGTGACCACCACATTCCAACCAGTTCCTTCTTGACTCAAAGTGGACATACGTTTGTGCCAAATTTGAAGAAATTCCCTCCCTTGAATATTTTCTGCATTTTCAGGGCAAAGTTTGGCCTAAAAAAAACATGGAGTTTTGCAAACACGTCAGAAATCACGGACATGCCCAGAGGTATAAATGGACTTGTGGTTGACGCTCATACACACAGATATGTGGAAATATATATCACCCTACAAAAATACGACATTACTTGATTAAAGGTACAAAAAAATAATTCAAGTTAGGCAACTTAAATAACAATTCTTAATATTTGGTTTATAAGTGTGTGAAACGATCGATACACATCTGACAGTCAACTAACTGATCAATAAACAAAGCTCTCAGCTGTAAACAGTCTCCTCTGTGTTTCACAGCTCCTCATGACTCGCCTGCTGGAAGCATCACTGTCTCCCTCAGCCCCAACCTTGACCCCGCCCACCCTCATCACGCGGCCCAATCGCCTCGCTGACCTTGCCTACACATGTCCCCGCCCCCCTGTCACTCATCATGTACAGGTGACACCCCGTGAACAAATCAAACACACACAAAGTGCTCCCTCTTTATTCCTCTGTCATTTCTAACATCACACCATGGAGGTGTTGTGGCTTTGACCTTTGACCTCTGCACGTGTTTCATCTGGATTAAATGTTTGTGTGACGTCGTGTTTCCTCTTCTTAAAGGGCCAGTCTGCTTTTATTCTCTGTTTGCTATTATTGTCAATAAACAGGAGGAAATACTACATTTATTGGGGACTACTTTCAGCAGCGGATTAATGACCTGCCTGCAGCCCGTGAGCGCGTGCTATATTAAATAATAGGGCACTATTATTCAGCCATGACTACTCCAAACAGAGTAACTCCTCGCGTTTGTAGCGTCACTTGGTGGTAACTTCCTGCAACAACTAAACCTTTTCTGCTTTTTGTTTTGACAACAAATTAAGTACATAAAGTCTAAAACCTAACCTACGCAACTTTACGGTCTCAAACCTAACTTAAATAACCTTACTTTCTTAAACCTAACCTTTGTAACTTTACTTTCTTAAACCTAACCTACGTAACTTTACTTTCATAAACCTAACATTAGCAACCTTACTTTCTTAAACCTAACCTTTTCTGCTTTTTGTTTTGACAACAAATTAAGTACATAAAGTCAAAAACCTAACCTTACGCAACTTTACAGTCTCAAACCTAACTTAAATAACTTCACTTTCTTAAACCTAACCTACGTGACTTTACTTTCTTAAACCTAACCTACGTAACCTTACTTTCTTAAACCTAACCTACGTAACATTACTTTCTTAAACCTAACCTACGTAACTTCACTTTCCTTAAACTAACCCTCATAACTTTCTTCACCTAAACCTGACCTAACGTACATAACATAACCTTATGCACGTCACTTTACGTTACGTACATCACGTGACAATGCCGTGCATACTTACTGTTGTATGTGTACCTTCATAAGATATCATAAGATTATTATCAGGACACTATGAATTATTTCATTGTCTCAAAATAACCAAACTTGTTTTGCTCATGTTAACGAGTTATTTTACTTCAATTCACGATAAAACAAAAGGCTGCTCAAGCTTTATCTTGAGATAACAAAATAATCAACTCATGATCTCAAGATCAGCTTCTGTGGTCTGCTGTTTCTTTAAATGTCTTTTGACCTTCTTGTTAAATCTTGTTTCCCTGCGCACATTTCATAGACAGAAAATGAATGAAAATAAAAATGGTTTGTCTAATTTCACCTAAGTGCTAAACATATCATATACAATATGACTGTGATGTTACACAGGTGTATTGAAGCTGCTCTTTCTGTCCACAGTGACTGAGAGGAGGAGGAAATGATGCTTAAACTACAACAAAGATGGCGGATCATCCAGCCTCACGTTTACCAATCTCCTTCATCTTCCTCATAGCACACACACAACTCCTCCTCGTCTCTGGTTTGTAGAAGGTTTGAAGTCTCCCTCCTGGAGACAAAGACAGGAAGCCGGGTCCTCCGATCCATCCTGCTTTGATTGCAGCCAGAAGACGAGGCAGCGATCCGGAGGAGGCCGGAGCGGCGGCGCTGAATGATGAATTATGTTTCAAGGCTTTTCACGTGGCGCACTGGAATTCATGTCCAGCCTTAATAGCGCTCGTTTTCTGCCTTGTTCACTCCATTAGTGGCGAGCGGGGGGCCCCGAGTGGCGGGCCCCGCCGCTAATTACAGCGTGAGGGATGATCGGCGAGGGCTCATTACCGGCGGTGCGGGCCGAAACATACTGTCTCTCTCCCCGGTTAATGATGTTGGATCTGTGGTGAGGAGAGACCAGCGCTCGCCGCTTCATCAAACGTCTGAGTGTCCGCGGGTTAACGTGGCTGTTGACTTCCTCTCTGTCTGCTTCAGTTACACGTCCTCTCTGAAACCTCAGCCGCCTCGTTAACATCCAGTTTATGCACTCGTTAAAGACTTCATCCTCAGCTCAGAACGAATCCAAGTCAAATACGACTTGACTGTGTTTGATATAAACAAAACAAAAAACATAAACAAGTTTATACACTCGTACAGGACCTCATCCTCAGCTCAGAACGAGTCCAAGTCTCTTCAGCTCAATATGAGTCCAAGTTAAATACCACTCAACTGTGTTTGACTTAAACACACTAAAACCCATGAGCAAGTTTATACACTCGTATAGGACTTTTCTTAGCTCAGTACGAGTCTCTTCAGTTAAGTACAAGTTCAAGTCTCTTCAGCTCAGTACAAGTCCAAGTCTCTTCAGCTCATTAAGAGTCCAAGTCTCTTCAGCTCAGTACGAGTCCAAGTCAAATACGACTCAACTGTGTTTGATTTAAAACAAAACAATCATAGTTAAACAAGTTTATACACTCGTATTGGACTTCATCTTCAGCTCAGTACGAGTCCAAGTCTCTTTCATTCAGTACAAGTCCAGGTCTATTCAGCTCAGTCCAAGTCCAAGTCCAAGTCAAACATGACTCGACTGTGTATGATTTATACAAACTAAATCCATAGATATACAAGTTTATACACTATACGAGTCCACGTCTCTTCAGCTCAATCCTTAAATAAAGTGTCACCAGTTTCCTTTTGCTCCCACTCTTCATGCAGATCTGAGACAAACACATCCTGGACCTACAGATTAAACACCTCAACATGTGGAACTGTTCCTTTAACCTGTCATTAAATCAAACTTGTCTATTCGTCAGTCTCGCCACCTTCATCCTGTCTGCGCTGAAACCCCCTCGACTGCCGGCCTCATTACAGCCTCTTACCTGACACAATGGAGCAGAACTAAATGCTGCCTGACACTCGGCCAGCGATCTGTCACAGCTCTCTCAGCTCCGGAATAAAACCGGGCGGCGACAGAGTCGACTCGGACTGAATTCACCCCGAAAACAATCTGATGGTGAGGCTTTAATTTCAATTTGACGCCATTTAGCTGATGATGATGGGATCCGAGGAGACACGGTATAATGAGCTCAGACTGACTTCACTCCCATGGTGGACGTTTTTAAATCAAACTGAGGCAGGTTAGCAGCGAGCAGACTCTGTCCTACTGATGTGTTCAGGAAGTAAAACCAGGCTCCAACAGATACATCTACAATAATCTGTGACATCAACAGTTGCATTTTAACGGACATTTCACCCACAAATGACCTTAATCTCTGTATTTATGTGCTGTGCAGGAGTTGTAGTTGCTCTTTCACTTCAGAGAGCGGGACAAAGAATGTCTGACAAAGTCCAAAAGCTGATATTTGTAAGAACACTCCCAAACGAGTTAGCATGTTAGCACTTCCAATTCTTAGGTCTTGAAGTCAGTGGGTTTTTGGTTACATGCCTAAAAATAAGGTCTTGGTTAACTCAAGCTTAAGAGACTTTCACTTTTTGTTCTACGACATAGAAAACGTCAGTAAATACACTAAAGTGAGTTTAGAAGCTTTTACATCTCTTAAAAAAACACGGTTGCTAACACCTGGCTAAATGAGACTACAGAGCTTCATGTGACCATGGCGTAATGTGTTTGTAGCCTAACGTTTTACCTCTATACTTGGATACCCGTTTCATCTGAGTATCCGGCTCAACCCTTGGAGGCAGGTTGTGGCGCCCGATGGGTCACAAACCCTAGGATGTACAGTTCTGGTGTACTTGTACTTTATTTCCAACTTTGACTCAACTACATCTGAGAAATATTGTCCTTTTACTGCACTACGTTTGTCTGACAGCTAAAGTTACTTCTCAGTTTATTAAGTAAAGATATAATCAACTAAGAAATTATGATGTATTGTAACGGAATAATAACAGTTTAAGAAATCTAAACCCAAAAACTTAAAACAAAGTCAGAAACAGCCATCACAGTCAGACTCTTTCCCACAACGCTGCAGAAAACGCACCTGACGAGTGATAAAGACAACAAAGAGAAAAGCGAGACGCTTCTTGTGAGAAACCCTGAATCAGAAACAAAGCCTTCATTCATGTGAAGCCTCTCAGACGCTCCGCAGATTTACGCGGCACCTTCATGTTGCTAATGCGAGCCGACACAGTTAACCAGGAGGAAACCGGCACAACGAGGCAGCTCTAACCCAATTTTAGCTGCCGTCTCCTCGTATCCCGCTCCTGTGATTGCACCAGCAGTAATTACGGCTGTAATAATTAAATAAGTCTCTTTTAGCCGTGTGGAAGAGGCAGATCTAATTAGCTCGTCTGTCTGAGGGCTTCTCTCTCTTCGGACCGGCTGAGTCTCGCTTCATGAATATCTCTTATCCCAGGGGTTTGCTGCAGCAGGTTTACTTACCTGCGTGTTTTTATGGGCGGAGGTCAAAGGTCAGAGCCTAAAGAGGGGGGCAGGCTGGTCTCTGTGTGTAACAGCAGTCATTAGCGGCTGCAGGCACACCTGCTCTGTGGTTGGAAAGTTGATGCAGGTTGATGGATGAACTGAAGCTGTGACTCTGTTTTTAAAACTCCCACCACCAGCTGTCACCTCACTTTTAGTCTCTGTTGTGCTTTATACGTTTTCCAAAAGCATGCAGGGAAACACAGTGTGCCACGCCGTCTCAAATCAGTCTGAGAATCACCCTCCAAGACCGTCTCACAACCCTCTCAGGCTCAGAGAGCACGACAGACAACAACAGAGATCAGGTTTATACGGCTGCAGAGCTCTAAAATCAGGGTTTCTAAACAACAACAACAAAAAAACAGAAACTCAGTACGTTTTACTTACAAGCAACGTGACATAACAGTGGCGTTGAAACTATCAGTTGGATAATTAATTGTTTTTGGGTCATTAAACATTTTGGTATTTACAAAATTTCAGGAATGATATCTAACAAATAAGCATCCGTTAGTTGAGGGTAAGGAAAAGACTCATGGTAGTGTGTCATCACATAACTTGCCATAAAGTTACACACTTAACATAAAGTTATGTAGTTAAGGTTTAAGTAAAGAATCGTGGTTGGGCGTCATCACTTTGTGCACTAAATCTAAAGTTACATACCCATTCTCTGAACCCATCGGGCAGACCCCCAATTTTTTGGCATTCCTGTTTGATTTGGGCGGAGGAGGCGAATTTCCGTTTCCCACTTCCGTTTATATATAAGTAAATATGCTGAACCATTGCGATGGATTCACAGTTTGCAGTGACGCCAATTATGTTCCGTCTCGTTAGTTCACCGCACGGAGCGTTTAACCTGGCAACAACTGCAGCCGGCTCAAACGTGATTGGTCAATATCACGCGGACTACAAACAGCCTACAACCGGAAACCAGGGCTCTTCCGCTCTTCTTCCAGAGGCAAGATCTCCGGGGTTTGGCCACAGACTCTACATTCACTGAATGTAGAGTCTGTATATAGAGACTATTACATACCTAACGTAAACGCACATACTCTAGGTTTCAGAAAAGAATCATGGTTGAGCATCATTACTTTACATATTTAACGTAAAGTTACATATTTAAAATAAAGTTACCCAGGTTGGGTTATGTAGGTTGTGTTTTGGAAAAGAATCGTGGTTGGGCGTCATTGCGTTACATACTTGACGTAATAATATGTACTTCGCATTAAGTTATGTAGGTAAGGTTTAGCAAAGAAAAGTTATGTGGGTTGGGTTTAGGAAAATAAACCTGCGTAGGTTAGGTGTAGGAAAAGAATCGTAGTTGGGCATCGTCACATCACATATGTAATGTAAATTTACATACTTAAGGTAACGTTACCTAGGTTCGGTGTAAAAAACTACATGCAATGTATTATTATCATTAAAGTTACGTAGGTTGGGTTTGGAAAAGAATTGTAGTTGGGCGTTAACATTATGTTAAGTGGGTTACGTTTATCCAAGTTAAGTTACATAGGTTAGGTTTTGTTAAAGAATCATGGTTGTGTGTTGTCATGTTACATACTTAACATACAGTTACAAACTTAACATTAGCTAACCTAGGTTGGGTTTAGGTAAAGTTAGTTAAAGTACTTAATGTAAAGTTACATACCTAACGTAAAAGTACATACCTTAGGTTTAGGAAAATAATTTGTCATCACGTTACATACTGAGCATAACATTATGTACATAACATTAAGTAACGTAGGTTACGTCTGGAAAAGAATCACGGTTTGGCATCATCACGTCACATCACATATCAAAACAATCAGGCATTTCAGTAGTGAGTGTTTTAACTGTTTATCTGTGGATTTCCAGCGGGCTTCCACTCCTCACCTGGTTGCTGCTACCTGCTGGTACTACATTCATCCGTTCATCATGTGGATTAACCGACTGGCTGTGAGTTTCATGCTCGTTTGGACTGTCCTGTCCATTATATCAAATCCACCTGCAGTCTTACTCCAATACACAGCTGCTGAGCTCCTCCTGCTACGGTTCCACCTGCCTGACCCGCCACCGATACTGCACCTCTTCCCGGACATCGCTCACGTTCCCTGTTGGAAATACATCCACCGTGGATCCCGTCAGAGCTTCCCAATCAATGACTCCACTGACATAAATTTAATCTCGTCTCATCCACCAAGGAACTCCGGTCGGACCGTGGACTGCAGTGTATTAGCCAACTTGGCCAGGTCGACTAATGTTAGCACCGCCACCGACCACAGCGATGTCAACTTCTGACTATTCAACATCCGTTCTCTCACGGGCAAAGGACACCTCCTCCTCGATCGTAAGTTTGACTTTCTCTGTCTAACAGAAATGTGGCAACAATTGTTAGACAGAGAAAGTTGTTGTTGTTCAACAACCCAATGACTTTTCCCAACTGAACGAGTCCACTCAACATGGGTTTGTTTACACCTGTCAACCACGTCACACCGGTGGAGCAGGAGGTCTCGCGATAATCTACCGCAGGATGTGGAAAGTCTCGCCTTTCTCCGTCCCAGTGTATGCATCTTT